CTGGCTAAGGTGTGAGAGTAATGGAAGAAAATCTGTAAGGTCAAAAATAACATAGAAGAAAGATAACAGTTCAACATTTCCTTTTATAAACAGAATTATTACTTTTACTAAATATAGAGGAAAAGGAAGTGCTTATTTTCCTTGCTTGCCCATTTTCTGATGATTTCTTGCTATCAGTTTATGCCAGTCACTTTGCCCACTTCGGATGTGATCTCTGGGCTGGAGCCACAAATTCATTCATGATGGGCTAAATTAAACCTGCAGAAACATTTACTTTCCCTTGCAACTTAGATTTTAGCCACAGCTAAATCTGACTTCTTGTTCAACTAGAAACTGTGCATGAAGTTTCCGTAGAGTTTGTCATCAGGAAAATTTCTTCAGTCTACTAGCCAGTGTCCGAGCACTACCACAAGCCACAAGCCTTTTATAAACTCAGAGCTCCAGATGTCTTCTTGACAGAAAATGCAATTCATTTCAGTTGCTTAATTTCATTTCTTCTTCAAGGCAATTTTCTTCTGTAAATATTTTTAAATATTTAGTGCTAATGGACAATTAGCCACATCATTAATTTATGTTTTCAATTTATGTACTTAACACATTCCAGTCATCTTTTATGCAAATAATGACATATGTTTTCCTACCTTGAACTCATTTCTGATTAATTTACTTGTACAGTGAATCTATCACCATTATTACTATGCATACATATTGCCCAGTTAGGATCGTGTGTTCTGGAAACACTAAATAAATACAACTTGAGCTTTAGGAACAATCTTAAAAGTAAAGATTACTTTGGGAGAGAAAATTCTGCAAACAGCTAAGCATGTTCAGCTATAAAGAAACATTATACAATGAATCATGTTTTTACATATAAAGAGAACTAATCCTGACCTTCAGAGTTAGTTTCATGGTGAAAAAGAAAGGGAAAATCTCACTAGACTGCACAGATCAGAACTGAAAGCACAAAAGATTTTTTTTTTTTAAATATGAAAAGTATGTGAAATGATTTTAATAAAGGTAAGAAATTAAAAACATACATACTTACTCCTTGTCCTTCCTGGCAATTTAGGCCAAGTTTCAAATTCAGAAACAGTACAGAGGTTACTGAGAGAATTCAAAGATGCATCCTGAGGCACGACTGAGTGACCAAGAGCTGTCTGAGAGTTTTATTGGCCGTCTATGATGTGTGTGATGTTATATTTTGGAAGAAAGCCCCAGGGATTTTTTTTTTTGTTGGGTTTTTGTTTTGGGTTTTTTTTTTTGTTTTGTTTTTTTTTTTTTTTTTTTTACTTCTCGAAATGTCATCTGTAGTAATTTTCAAGGCATGTGAAATATTTTGTTCTTATTGTGAAATCACAGAAGCCATCTGCCATGACTCTTGTCCTCCTGCGACTACTAAATAAAGCTCTCAAATACAGCTCCTTGGCAACTAAAAGTTCCTTCGTATGACTAACCATGTCCGTAACAATATAATTTTAACAGCTCCGAACTGCCCTCTCAGTGCCAGTGCACACAAAGCCAAACTTTGAACTCGTTTTTTTGTTGTGGTGGGAGCTCCTTCCTCTGCCAGCCCGGGGCAGCACCATGCCAAGGAGCTGGGGCTACAGCCGAAGAGAGATACGGGAAGGGCTGCTGAAACGTGGACCCGCTAAACCCCGTGTCAGCCTTTCCACTGTTTTTGAAAAGCAATGTCTTTTGCACCCCACTGTAGCTGTGCAGGGCATGAGTCTCTGCGAACATTACTTCTCAGTAGTGCACAGTGACCGCTGTACTTTCTCGGGCTTGCACCCAGAAATAATCTTTTTATCTGATTACCTGCCGGGACCTTGTAGCCTGAGACTGGTTGTTTATAAATTATTTTTATCTTTTTCATTCTGATTGTCCCCTGATTAGAGCAATATTTTTAAAAGATTCATATCTGATGCATTTCAGATTTTCAATACAAATCTCTCTTAAGTATATCTGCACAAACAATAGGGGGTTTCGACTTATTTTTAAAAAACAGTGAAAAATTATCAAGGGACTGGAACGCTATTTACTTACATGAAAACATTTTTCCCATTGGCTACCTACCCAAAAAATGCACCATCTCTCTGAATTCTTATCCGACTGCGTCCATTCTTGTTTGCTAAAAGTGAGTTAAAATGAAAAGCCATGCAAGGCTGCACGGTGATATCTTATTATGACCTTCCCTATTATCACGATAAATACTTTTATTCCAACTTGTTATTCATTAAAAAGATACTAAGTTAGAGTTATGCAAACACTAGTAAAATTGACAAATTTGAAAAATATTTCTGGTTGATACCATCACACTAGAGAAAACCCTAATGAACTCAACATTTGATTTGAAGATTTAAAATGTATAAATACTTCTTTTGTTTAAACAGGATCCTATTCCAACATTCACTTATTTTATTAAATAAACAAGACAGTACAAAAAATACATCTCAAATGAAGCTATATACTTCATTTCTATCAAAATGATTTTTTTTTAGTATCATGATCAAAACTTTTATTTTGGTGAAGACCTGAAATGCAACATTTTTAAAATTACATGTTATCTAAGGAATCCTAATAACCTACAGGAGATCAGTCTCTAAACAACACATCCCACGCTGACTCATTAAGGTAAGTGCAATACAACAGGAGATCTTCGTCACAGACTTTCCAAAAAATTCTTCTTTGCTTACGCTAGTGCATTTCTGTGTTTACGTTATTTTTTCCCTAAAGAAGAACGTTTGAGCAATAAGAAGAAGTCTGGAATTCATCCATGCTTGGACATGAATCTCTAGGAGCCGCCAACATCTACATTTACTCACAGACTCTGAATAGAAAACTGCAGCTGTGTCTAAAATTTATATGATAAATAACATAGTCTTACAAAACTCAACACTTCAAAATGGGATCAAAATATTGGTTTGCAAATACAACTCCTCTTTGTAAATCTAGTTTCTTATTTTCTATTGTTTTTCATTGCCATCTTTAGAACTTTTTTTAGTAATAGAGGGAGATCAAAATCAAGAGTTTATACATTTGGTGGTAACAGTGAAATGAATAGGCACTGCTGTAGGTCCAGCTCTTAAACAACTTAAAATAAGTAAGTCCACATAAGAAGCTGTATCTTGATACAAAGAGGGGATTTAATTTATTATTTCTTTGCAACTTGGGTCTTCGTTTCAACCTGTAGAAAGCAGGTAGTGATTTCGTAACATTTTACAGTTTGCACAGATGTAATGGACCACAACTTAAAGCAATGTGAAGGATTTAGTTTAAAAACATTTATATAAGAGTCGACAGTTAAAACGTTTTTGCTGTGTATACATATTTAAAACATATCTGTCTAGTAGTGCCTTCAACTCGGGATACTCACAGCACATTAGTTTATGTTTCAAGCTTATATGATCTTCAGCCACTCTGTCTATGTTGACTTTCCTGTACAAAGTACACATTCTCTAGAGCTACATAGGAATTTACAAATGCTAACTGGGCCTCTCTGATCAGACAGATTAAACAAATATGTTGATGAAGGCAGAGGTAAGACTGTTTGCTCAATCTACCGTTACGTGGTAGACAAATGGCAGAAATCCAAAAGGTTTCCAGATTTCTGACTCAGCCATTAAAAATCTTCCTCTTAACATAGCTGGAGCCTTTAATGATCTAACAAATTATCTTTTTGCAACAGTATGATTTAAAGTTTGATTTTCTTTATTGAAATGATTTGCAAATCAACATAGTTATGTGCCATAACTGTTCATTTGCTCTGGAACAGGAGAAAAGTTTTCTGATGCGACCCTGTGATGTAAAATTCTTTGTTCAGCTTGGCTGGATTTCTTTACATATACTATAGACAGTTGTTGCCAAGCAGAGCTTAAACTCTGGTGCAGTGATTTACACTTCCTAATAAGTGATCCTGGTTGCATCACAGTGCAGTAATAATAAAGCTCTGCTAACTACAGTTAACAGGCTGAAACAGCAAAGTATGGAAGGAGTCAATACAGGCTGGAAACCCACAGTGTACTGATGGAAGAACAGAGTGAAAGGATGGTTCAATGGCTAAAGTACTACTTGGGGATTTGGGACACCTGAACCGAGAGCCTGTCTTCTCCACAGAAACCCTGCCTAAAACAGAGCAACCTTGTTCTGTCCACAACAAGCTAACAGCATTTGTGCTAAGAGTATTTAAGTTTGTTAATTTTGCATTTCAAGTGAAGCCAATAATCAACCTGAAAAACCAGACAGTGAAAAGATGAGAATTATTCCTGCCTGTACCTACTGCAGGAATACCAACTGGCTGTTGATACTCTCGCTGTCCCTCTGGCAATGGCCCCCAGCCACCTCCATCGGACTGTTTCATTGCCTTGTTTCTGTGAGAGCAGGACAGACCTGGGTGTCTGAGTGTGACTCTAAACTGCCAGTAGAAAAGATGTAGGTTGGGACATTGCATTTTATTTCTTGGGTTTTTTCGTTACCTGCATAAACGGCACATGCCAATACTGCACAACGTGTGATCGTGCTGGAAAGTGGCGGGAATGTGAATTAAACAGACTGCGGTCTGGAGAGGCTGGTGCAGGGGCTTTCCATTGCTGCCGGCGTCTGTGTGCTTTGAGAAGAGTAAAGACTTTAGTCAGAGAGGCCATCCTGCAAACTGCACCTATAGGCTCTTGTGTACCCCAGGTCCTCACAAAGAAAAGTAACGTCTGATGTTTCATGGGACCTTGAGCTACGAGCGGGCAGAGGAACGCTACTGAAAAGATTTCAGTATCCTTAGCTGCCTTAATTCAGACTTTACCTTCCCAAGGGACTGAGGGTGGTCAGCACCACTCACAAATGGACCCTGAAAAGAAAGCTGACCCAAAGCTTTGAAAGTAGCCAAAATTCTGTGCTTTCATCTCGCTTTGCTACAATGGGAAGTGAAAGAAAGTACCTGCAGCAGTTGCACTTCTCACAAGTCATTCCTGCGTAACAGGATACGAGCTAGAGAAGAAAATGCCAGTAAATCTCATTTCTTAAAGTAGTTTATTTTCTCTTGTACACACTTACTGCATAGCAAAATAGTGTCTATATATTTACATGATTTAAATTAATGTCATATTAATATAATAACATTTTAATATTTTATTTCTCAGTACCAAATACTCAAAAATCTCTTCCATTGCCTCAATAACCTTTGTATGGAGTTCCTTTTATTCAACGGCTGCATGAACAGCATGCTTGTGAACAAGACAGTATTGATAACACTGGAAATAACAGAAAGCCTTGCAATGTTTCATTATAGGTGTCTTGGACAGTTTAAAGAATGAACAATAGAAGTATTTATGACATAAGATTATACTGGATTATTAAAGAAAATCTATGGAAACTATCTATAAATCATCTACAGTGATCTAAATCCTATCATTTTAATAGAATATCTGCACACTTCTAGAGTATTTTTAGGTTTAATTATTTGAAGGTTTAATACAAATTCCCATTTTAAATGGCACCTTATTGCTCCATTCAAGCTCTGATGAATAAAGACCACGCAGTAGCAGTCTGAGTTTACTTATGTCATCAAACTCCATTTCCCTTGGTGGTTTTAAGGCTTTAACCTTAAGTGCTTTTAAAAGGACAAAGGCTCTGTTAGTTTCAGAAGATTTTATATCATCTCCAACACAGTTTTTGATCAAGGTTCTTAGAGGTAAAAGTGCATACTGACAATTCTGTACACTATGAGTTTATCTTCTGTGTAAACTCAACTTAGATCATAAATCCAGTCCAATTGGGGAAAAGCTATCTTGTATTAAAATCACTCAGATGATTAACTCTACAAATAAAATGTAGGTATTATTAGAGTCTAAAAAGGCCATTCTCAAATACTCTGAGCTTTCAAGACTCCTATTAGCTTTGGTTAGATTTCTAAGGCAGTTAGGTGATGCTCTCCTTCATATTCTCAGTTTCTTCTACTTGTAACATCATACCAGTCGTGCTGAGCTTTCATGTTTCCATTAAATAACATTACAAATATTTATTATGCTTTGTGAATATTAAAAACTAAGTCTCTGGGCTGAAGTATAGGTAGGAATGTAAATAACATTCACTCACTCAAAAGGAGGAAGTGAATGCTTTTACCCCAATGCAGAAGAGGTGAAAAACCTCCTGCTACAAAGAAAACTCAGCTAACTTCACATAGATGGCTGCAGCCTTCCTTCTGCTCATGCTATACCCTTTTTGAGCTACTTTCCTCAAATACAAGCTGATGTAAACCTGTAACCAGCAGAGGCAGAGCAGTTGCAAAAAGGCACAGCTTGTCAATCAAATAATCAAAATAGTTTTGGATGACTGAACATAAAGTAAAAGCCCAGGAGATAGCCACACCAAAAAAATCCATTTGAGTAATAGTCCTACAGGATTCATTTACTAGAACTTATTCAAATACAAGCCCCTCCTACCAAAAATCTAGTCTAACAAACTGTATGGGTACCATAAGTAGTTGCACAATCTTGACAATAGCTTCTATGCTGGGGGTCTATTCAGAGAACTGTATGTACATGTATGTACACCTTAGAAATGCAAACATTTCAAATAATGCATGCATCAAATATTATTCAGCCATGAAAATGTAACTATGCTACAAAGTAGGATTCAATAATGAAAAATGCCCAATAACATTAGAAGCAGATCTCTCTATGGAGTTTCCATTAACATCAAATCATTGGTTTTCCACAAATGATGAATATTGCCACACATTTATTCTGTGGACCAGTAGCAGACGGATATCAGTGGAGACTGATATGTTAGAAGGCTTTTTTCTTGTAATGAACAAATTGTGCTATCCTATCGTGGCAATGGAAAACCAGATTTTTTCCTTGGGTATTCACTTGAAATGGAAGTTCTTAAAGTGTCCAGGGAGTTTTCCATCTGCACAGACTGTGATTTTCTGCACCTCTTTGGGAACAAGTCCTTGTAGAATTCCACAGCCTTCTTCTGGAAGTGCTTCCCAACAATTACATACAGGACTGGGTTCAGGCAGCTGTTGCTAAAGGCACAGTACGTAGCTAGCTGGGTCAGTACGTCATTGATTTCTTCCAGGCATTTGAAAGTGGGTGTGAAGTAACGGATTGTGTCAATGAACGTGCTGATCTGGAATGGAAGCCAGCAAATGATGAACAGCAAGAGCACAGCAAGGACCAGCATGGTGGCTCTCCTTTCTGTCTGGACTAACTTCAGGTTTTGTAGCTCACTACTTCGTAAGGCTTTGATGATTTGCACAGTGCAATAGGTAATTACACAGACTGGGATCACAAAGCCCACAATATTCAGCAAGCAGTTGTTTGCAGGCTCCCAGTAGCTGGCTGGATAATCAAGACTGCATGCTGTGATGTTGTATTGTTTGTAATAACGTAAATTTCGGAACACCATTGTAGGCGAACACATGAGCAACGCACACATCCAGACTACAAAGCTATTCCATTTGGCACAGACAGTTCGTCGCATCCGTCCAAGAGACATGGTTTTCACCAGAGCCAGATAGCGGTCGATGCTCACGAGTGTCAGGAAATAAATGCTAGAATAAAAGTTCATGTTACTCATTACGTTGACAGCTTTACAGAGGAACAAGCCAAAAGGCCATTGAAACTCATTAGAAATATTAATGGCCCAGAAAGGTAGAGCACAGACTAACATTAGGTCGGCAAGAGCCATGTTTGCTAGGTAAATTTCGGCCACTGTGCAGCGACTCTTGTGGAAACACAGGACGATGAGGACAAAGGAATTTTCTATTGCTCCCAGAATAAATATAAACCAGAGGAATACAGGCTGAAAATCCTGTAGCCAGTTCCATACATCTGAATTAATACATTCATATCTATGCAGCTGATGCACTCCTGAATTATTGTGGAAATTTGCTGGAGTGACTGTGAGCTCCTGGTTAGCCATGATGTTGTAAACTCGTGTAACATTTTCAGTTGTGATAGAAACCATTTCTGTGCAGAGAAAAAGAAAAAGATGACATGAGATTGCTGCATCTAACACATTGCTGCAAAAGACACAAGAAGAAAAACTGGCTCTGCTTTTCCCACTGTTCTAAAAAGTGTAGTTTTGACCAGGCTTACCATTTTCTGGTTTGCTTTCTTGCAGACATCCTGCATGCTTGCAGAGACTTTCACAGACTAAACTGCTATGGGTTGTGTGGACCAATTTTAAGTGGGTGAAACATAGAGGATAAAGCAACAACAGACATTGTAACCGACAGGTGAACTGAAGAGGACCTTTACCAGCCTTTAGTCACTAGAACCAAGCTGCAGCAAGTCTTTTTTAATTCTTTGAGGAGGTTGATCATTACTTTCTCTCCTTATCTTTTTGTATTGATAGCCATAGTCTCCTAAAGGATGGATGCACCTCATGAGTCTCATGTTGCTCATTGTTAATCTGCTAGTCCTGTGGCATGTCCCTCAATATTTCACACCCTTTCCTATAAGGCAAGAATTGGGTGGAATTCAGTGGTCCTTCCTCCCCACACAACACCGTATTTTTTTCCCAAATGTTACAACTTTCACAGCAGACCTTTAGTTTGCAGCTCTAGTTTGCACTGAGAAAGCTGCAGGAGCAAGGATCGGTGTTTGCAAGCAGTGAGGCTTTCACGATGTCTCATGGGAATCACCTGTGTATTTCTGTCCCTGTGTTACAATCTTTTTCTGCAAGAAAGTCACAGAAGAGACAAATGGCTGAACCTTTGTAAGGGAATGCAGTTTTAATAGGTCCACAGTGAGTGAGTTGGCAGTTTGGCAAAGATGGTGGCCATGCAACGACTTGCCTGCAGTCAGGCTGCAGTGAGCCCATTTGGGTGCGAGAGCAGTCTGAAAACCAGGTGCTGTACTGTAAATATTCTACGGGTCAGAACAGCTTGGGGTCTTACAGGGAGCTGTTTATGGGGATAAATGTCAGATTTGTGCTTAAATGTTGTTAAGACCAAACAGAACTTGAGTGTCTAGCATCCACTTAGTAATGTTAAAATGTTAACTGCGGTTTTTATTGTTGTGCTCCGAGATACTTAATGCTGAGGTATTATTCAAATACAATATCTGGTTTCCCAGATCTATATATATATATAATTCTCTGGACTGGGTGATAGAAATACTGTTTGCTTTTTTCCAGGTTTTTAAAATACCACTGTTTATATGATGGTTGGATTGAAAGCTTTTCAGATGCATTTTTAATTAAGATATTTGTCTGATTCAGCTGGTAACTTGGCAGTAAAAAGGGGACACATTTGTAATTCCTGAAAGGACTGGGTTCTTATTTGTACTCTGGTTACTGGATTCATTGGTTGATGTGTCAGTGCTCAATATGCGTGTAGACTTTTGGCTGTTGGATGCAGAATTACTGAAAAATGATGGTCATATTTTGTGTACTTAGTTTTAACTAAGCACTGTACTGCTCGAGAACCAAAAAGCAAAAGCAAAGATGAAGACCACATTTTACTAAGTACAGTAAAGGCAGTAACAAAGGAGACTCTCTCTGTACTGTAAAATTTGTAACTGAGGTCTCAGGCAGGACAGGTCAACTGGATAAAACAGGCAAGTGGGACTGAGAACCTCTAAAGATAAGGAAACTTAAAAATGGACTAATGGACATAAAACAAAATGTCAGCAATGCACTTTTCCAATCCTTCATAAGTTAACAAAAGGACAATATTTGCATAAACTGGCTAACAACGTAAATATTCTCATTCTCCAAGTTCATCCTCTCAAAACCTCAACTTTTCAAGCCCAAATCGAACTGCAGGAATATCTCTCAATCCTCTACCCTGCCTCTTCATTAACACTGTCATTGTTAGAACCACCTCAATCTTGAGACACCTGTATCCTTTTGATTTCTGATTGTTTTCAACCAGCATCTGGGGGATGGGTTGGTTGATCCTCTTTATTACACAACATTACATGCTGTAGACACCCATCCAGTGATATATGCTTTTGGTGACACTGGTTATCTGGAGCTTTTAGGTATAGTAGATACAGATTTAGTTGTTCTATACTGAATGCAAATACCATCCGCAGTGAATGCTATGCAACACTGCCAATATTCTGGTTTATGTCCTCTTTTCATCTTCCAGGTGCAAGCAACTACTGTAGGCTGTAAATGCTTTGGTTATAAATCTTACTTTTGTTTGAGCCCTTCGAGGTATAGCAGAGCACCTGCACCTATAGTGCATTTTTCTGCCACTATTTTTTCAAATTTCAGCACAATGAATTATAGAACAGTACCAGAAGCTCCACTGAAACCTAAATATGCCTGATCTATTGCTTCTGCTTTATCTCTTAGGCCAGATTGGATTAGTCTGACACAACTCCATTCTTGATAAGTTTATACTGGCAGTTCCTTATCACTTTGTTATTCTTTATTATCCTCCATATGTGGATATACTGATTATTTAATATTTTGCTGTCATGTTTTCCAGGTATTTAAACAAGATATTGACAAGTTTGTAAATCCCTGCGTCCTGCTGTCTGTGCCTTTTAAAGTTAGGTATTGTGTTTTGCCTTCTCTGGGCTTCTGAAATGTCCCCATTCTCCTTTGTTTCACAGACATAAAAAATGATGGCAAAGATTTCCTCTCCTAATTCCTGAACCACACCACGGTGGGTTAGATATGATCCTGCCACTTTGCATACCTCCATATATTCTTTAATCTGTTCTTTCCTAATTCACATAAATCTGATTGGTCAAATGAATCATCTTAAATATCAGATCACAATCTTCATTTCTGAGAAGACTAATGCAGAGTCATCATTGAACTTTTCACCATTCTCCAAGTTACTGGTTCCGTCTTCCTTTCAGTAATAGGCCTAGATTTTCCTCCACTATCCTCTTACATTTGATATATTTATAGAAACATTTTATATTACCTCCTATGCCCCCTATTAACTGCAACTCACTTTTATCCTGATGTTTTTGATATCCTTGATGTTCTGAGTTCTTAAGTAATACCTCAAATGATAGCCATACTGTTCTGTAATTAATCTCCCTATAGCAAAGCCTGACATCAAGGTGCTGGTATTCATAAACATTTAAATATCTCAAAGCCCAGCTTTTGTGGCTGGGAGAGATGCCACTAACAAATTGCAAACAGCAGTTTCAAGTCTCCCTTTCTGTGTATGCTGGCACTTTACACTGTGAAAACACATAGGAAGTAGAAATACTAATGGATGATCAACGAAAGGTCATCTGAGAACAGAGTTCTGTTGGGTGATGCAATTAGCAGAAGCTGTTTCTTCTGCCAGTAGCAGGCTGTGAACCAGCAGAAAGAATTGTAAGTAAGTGCATTATCTTATGCTTTGAGGTTGGATGTATGCATATATTTAATAAGATGTTCATTAGTAATTCAGAGAGTGGTCATAAAGGGTATGTTGGCAATTTCTAGCCTTTCCCTCATTATATGACTAATAGAAATACAATAAACAGGAATTAATTTACAGCAAATAGCAGCTAAAAACTGCCTACTGATTTATGATACTTTTCCTACAATCAATCTCTTTTAGATTTTTTTTTTTAGAAGGGAAAGCCCTAGAATACTTTAAAATAAATTACTTACATCACATTACTGTGGCCTAGGAACAGTATGCAGGGGTTAGGACATGACCAAGTTGATGATGTGGGGCTTCTCATGACCTGCGTCCTTAGGGCAAGCCCTCCCATAAAGCATTGGTAGAAATATGGGAGACAACCAGGTAATATGTGCTAACGATCAATTTACAAATGCTGTTTAAATGATGTGCTCGGTGCTATTCTCTCTAGCACAGGAAACTCATTCAAAGTATGTGTTTGCTGAATACATTATGATTTACAGTCACAATTTAGAAAAGGGAATGAAGTCTATTTGCTGTTAGCTTATCACAATTCAGTGAAAATAAATGTGACCCCTTCACACACTCTCTACAAACGCTTTCTGTGTAATGCAAGACAGGCCTAATGTCTCAGCTGGGACCCTCCAAAGGATTTTATCTGACAGTTTTGATTTAAACACTGCCCAGCTGAAGCAATCTATCATTACTGATCATGAGGGATTCCTGTGAGAGCTGAATTTGTCCCTGCTGGAGTTCACCTCCAATGATTAGTTACCTCCTCCGTGACAGTCACTAAAAACCTTGTTGGTCATTATCTCTTATTCTAGAATATTTTTTGCTAATAGCATTGGGCACAAATGGCAAGGTTTTGATAGTGGGGGGCTGTAGAGGGCCCTGTGTTGGCGGCAGCCAGACCTGTGCCTCTTGTAGACACTGCCCTGACCAAGGGAGGAGGGCTTTGGGGTTGGCTGATGCAGGGATATGTTGAGAAATGGCCAAATTCTGCAAATGCTGCAAATGAAGAACCCTTGCAGAGGGACTGGGAAGAAGTTGTTAATCAACTGTAGTTGCTGGGCTGTTGTATTGTGTTTACAGGCAAAGGGAGAAGGACCCCAACAAGGTGGTGGTCACCAGTGCCATGGCCTGACAGCTCTGAGGGCTGGGCACAGCCACTAATGCTCCTTGGAATTTCCTGGTAACCTGGGGGGGTATGTCCTGCTGACCAAGGACTGACCTGTATGTACTGTACTGGGGAGAGCATGCCAGAAGACTGAGATTGTCATAATAACCTTGCTAATTTAAACCTCAGGAACAAGAGGTAGAGTCTTTAATGGATAAATGTTCAGGCTGTTCTGATATTAAACCTTATAATGTGGTTTGCTGGAGCAAATGGTAGATTATTAAAAAGTGTAGGCATACAGTCATGATGTTAACCTGTATAGTCTAATCTGCAGGGACAAAGGACAGAGCAGGCCCAAGGCCCCACTAATCTTCTACTCCAAGTGATAGATTTCTATGATATATGATCATTCACGATGAAGGTTGCCTAGAGAGCAGCCTAATTTTCCACTTATTGCAGGGTTCTTTTAACAAGGGACTGGCCTTGTGAAGGCTAGGTGTGACACCCGGCCTGTAGCAT